GTGAACTAACTCAGTTCCACAAGGACAAATACTGTATAAAACCATTATTGTAGAATGAGTATGAGGATCCAAGGAAGGGGGAAGAGTGGAGGCAGAGGGGTGAGAATGGGTTTGGGGGTAGGGTGTTAATCATAAGGTTGCATAATTTGATTGATGAGGGGGTGAAGGAAATGGGAAGGATCTTTTGTGAAAAACTATATTCAAACTTTGTAAATATATCTGTAAAATTTTTAAAATTTAAAAAAATGTTGAGTTAGGAAAGTTACATTAGAAAAGTCTATAGTCCGTGACCTCTTTATTGAGCAATGATGTCGGTTGGGAGACTAAGGTGCATTTGATCCAGGCCATGGTCTTTGCAGCTACTTGGTATGTATGAAAGAGTTGGACAGTGACTAAGGATAACAGATGAAAAACCGATGCCTTTGAGTTGTGATGCTAGAGAAGAGTATTGAACATACGATGGACTGCCAAAAGAACAAACACTGTCCTGGAGAGAATGAAACCAGGTTGTTCCTAGGAGGCAAGGACTTTGAAACTCCATCTCACATACTTTGGGCATGTTGCCGTGAGGGACTAAACCTTGAAGAAGGACATCATTCTTGGAAGAGTGGAGGGTCAGCACAGAAAAGGAAGACCCTGGATGAGATGGGGTGACACAGTGACTCTAGTATTGGGGGAACAGGTTTGTCAGAGACAGTGAGATTGATTCACAATAAGGAAAGGTTCAGAGATATTGTTCATAGAGTTACTAGAGTCCTCCTCAAGGAAACAGTGCATAACAACAACAGCATCATGATGTTGCCTATTGGTCTGTCTAATGGTAAGGATCTTTGTTTTCTTGCTGTTGAGATGCAAACCATATTGAAGGCTGTAGTATTTGATTTTGTGCAGTAAGTGCTTAAGTCTTCCTCACTTTTTGCAAGCAAAATTGTATTATATGTATAACATAGGCTCTTGATGAGTCTTCCTCCAATCCTGATGTTACATTTTTCTTCATAGAGTCCAGCTTCAGGAATGATTTGCTCAGCATTCGGATTGAATAGGTATGGAGAAAGGATATAACCCTGATGAAGGCCTTTCCTGATTTTAGACAATACAGTGTTCCCTTGCTCTGTTCAGACAACAGCTTCAGGTTCTAGATATAGGTTTCATATGGGCATAATTAAGTGTTCTGAGATTCCCGTTCTTCTCAATGTTAGCTATCATTTGTTATGCTCTGTACAGTCAAATTTATAGAAGCATATTTTTCAAGTCATTCTCAAGAAGTGGAAATTTTGGATTGAAGTGCATGAGCACTTAAAATTTTAATAGTAAAAACAAACTGCTCTCTAATATGTTGTTGTTGTTGTTGTTGTTGTTAGATGCTGTCAAGTCAAATATGATTCACAGTGAACCTTTTAAACAACAAATCTGAACCCTGCCCTATCCTATACCAGCCTCACCGTCTAGCATGCTTGATCCCATTATTATAGTCACTGTGTCAATCCATAGTGTTAAGGGTCTTCTTCTCTTTTGATGACCTTCCACCTTTGTAACCATGAGATTTTTTTCCAAGGAGTAGCCCCTCCTAACAACATGCATGCCCAAAGTATGCAAGACAAAGCTTCACCATCCTTTCCTTTAAGGAGCACCATTGTACTTTCTGTAAGACATACTTGTTTCTATAATGTTTGCTTGCTCAAATTCCTGTCAATACTGACAGTATAAATTTTTAATTTTTTTTCAAATTCGATGGGTCAGAAATAACTTAGTGTTGTTTTGATTTGTACTTCATTCATTGTAAGTGAGGTTAAGCATCTTTTTTTCATCAGCTCATGGAATATTTGTGCTCGGTGAAGTGAAGTGCCTATTGGTCACCATTTCTGCCTGCTTTTCTTCTGAGTGGTTTGCCTTTCTTTGTCATGTATCCTTCTGTTCAGAAAGCATTTGCTGAGTCCAGACTATGGGAATGAACACTCTACTGGGCTTTACAGCTGTAATATGAGGAAACACCAGGCCTTTGCCAATTTGGGTATTAATTAACAGATAAGACTCAAATAATGCCCTATATGGTTCTACCCACTGAGTCACTTGAAGGAAAGGCTAGTCTGTCTCTGACAGCATGTAACAGAGCAGCCAGGCCAGGATGGGAGTATAGGAGCCTGGGAACTTTATGCGAGAAGCTCACAGCTAAAGGATAAATAGGATTTAGAATTGAGGGAGAATTTCTGGTGAAGAGCAGCCAGTATTTTAGGTGTAATGTGTGTTCTTCCCAATCTCCACCGGTGACCCTTCTTTACCACCCAGTATGCCAAATTGATTTTGTAACTCAATCTTCAAAGCTTCACGTTGTGGTTTTTCAGTAGCCATGGCAACCAGCCAGCCAGGCAAGGGTCTGCAAGGGGAGGACTCCTCCTCCCCTTCCTGCAGCCTTTACCTCAGCAGACCTGGCCTGTTGTAGAAATGCTGTTGAGAATGGATTTGACGAAAGAAACTTAAAAACAAATGTACACACACACAAAACCTGAGTTTTTATATTTTAGAAGAATAGCTCATTCATTGCTGTTGAATCAATTCTCGTTATAATGGCAGCCTTATACATGTTTACTAACAGGATCTAGCCTCGTTATATCATACAGTTTCACCAAGAGAAGGGACAAGGATTAAATGAAGATGCAGAGAGGCTATCGCTGATGGCGAATAGCAAAGTTTATTGTTGAACTCTTGTCTTATATTCTTTTTGTAAACAGAAAAACAACTTAGCCACAAGGCCAGCAATACATTTGTTTTGATTTATGAGCCACCTGCTAACAAGGCTTTCAACTAGCAAGCAAGGCCATCAGGACAGAGTCTTTAGGGAGGGACATACCATTCTGCACATCCCTGCTTGGCCTTGGGGTTCAAGGAACGGTTAAACTTGTTTTTGCTCCCCTTCAAACATCTGCACATTTGAGCCTGGCACAAAATGGCTACTTGCATAAAATGGCTGCAGTATGGCTTACTTTTTAACATCCTACTTCCTTGAGTTGTTTTCTGTCAAGCAGATACTATAGCCAAGATAGAGTTAGTCTTGCTGGTCTTTTGGTACAGGGCTAATCTTGCTTTATAAGTTGCAGGGCCCCAACAGTTTACAACATCTAGGATAGAAGGTTGCTATGAGGTTTGATGGTGGCGAATTTGGTTTGGTTTTTTACTAAATTCTAGTGTGGTGCTAGAGAAGAGTATGGAATATACCATGGACTGCTAGGAGAACAAACAGATTCATCCTGGAGAGGATGAAACCAGCTACTCCTTGGAGGTAAGGATTCTGAAGCTTCATCTGGCATACTTTGGACATGTTGCAAGGAGGGACCAGTGCTGGGAGAGGGACATCATGCTTGGGAGAATGGAGGAACAGCGCAGGAGGGGAAGACCCTCAATGAGATGGATTGATTAGGTGACTGGGGTAATGGGGGTAGGTGTGTCAGAGACAGTAAGATTGGGAAAGGATAGACCAGGATTTAGACCTGTTGTACATCTGGTTACTATGAGTCAGTCGTGGGTGACTTGGTATATAACAAGTGTTGAGGGTTTAAAAAAACTGAGATGAGATTAAGCCATGAGTTGATAATTGTTGAGGCTGTATGGTTCCTACTTAAAGGTTTAGTATGCTGTTCTCATAAATTTTGTTTCAGTGGAAATTTTCCCATAATGAGTTATTAAATAATAAATTCTTTAATTCTGTCAAGTGAAGGTACAAAATGCCTGTGGTGTCACGGGGCACTTAAAACAGGATTTCTTCTGAACTGGATCATAGATGGGCTTGTGGGTTTGACCTATTGGTAAGAAGTTGCATGGCAATCACAAAGGTAGCAGTTCAAATTCATCAGGTGCTCCACAGGAAAAGGATGAGCCATTTCCTCTTGTGAGATCTACTGTCTCTGAAAATTTGCTGGAGGGTCAGCTATGAGTTGGTTCCAACTCTGTGGCACACAGCAGCAATAGTGTTCAATGGCCAAGTGTTTGCTCTCATATACTGCACTTTCTGCTCTCCTCAGCCCTCATGCCCTTTATTCCTTGCTCCTCTTCTTCCCTCTTCCCCACTCCTGACTATGGAGCTCCAAGTCATGTCATTTACCATCTCCTGAACTTGAACAAGTTCCCTCATGTCACTGAGTCATCCTCTGAAAAATATGAAAACAAGGTCCTCTGCTTGGCAATGTTGTGAGAATTCTGATGATATAATATAGAAATATAAGATATATTAAATAGAAATATCTAACACAAGTCACAACCTCAGATGTTCACACAAGATGAAGAAGTTGTATAAATGAGTGAAGCTGCCCACGTGGCTCTTTATCTCTAACTTTGCCACTTCTCATAATGATATGAAGTAGAACCGGCATGATAATAAATGGTAAAGGAGATTTAGCCTCAGAGTTGAGTAATAGAGAGTAGGGATTGAGGCAAACTGGCGTGTGCAGACCCCATCTTCTGCAGCCATGAAGGAATGTGAAGCCAATGTTACCATGTCTTCCTGTTTTACAAGAGAGGCTGGAACTCTAAATTGTTATGTAAAATGTCTCAATTCTTAAATTCAGGATTAATTATTTAAAAAAAATCACGGAGGCCAAAGTAAGCCTCTTTTTGAGCCAAAATCAGCTCATAAGCTGCCAAAATGTAACCTCTCACCCAGATAATGATAAAGACTATGAGTGTTTGCCTTCCCCCACCTCTTACCACCTTCCTTTCTCTTACTTACCACCCTTCCACTTTTCCTCATCTGTCTCTCCCAGCAACCCCAACCCTTCATTTCTATGCTAAGTCCCAAGAGGTCAGAGGGACTGAAGTGGTTTGAAGACGTGATTACACAGGAGGGGTTGTGATCCAGTTGCCTAATCAAACCCCCCTTCCCTGCTCATCCCACCCCCACTCCCATACCTGTATCAGTGTCTGGAGCAAACTAGACACCAGCAATTGGGAAATAGATTCATACACACATTCTGGGCTTATTGATGAAACTGTTTTCTTTTTCTCAACAGCCTTGCGAAGTCGCTCTGGCCGCTCCATCATCAATGGGAACTGGGCAATTGATCGACCTGGAAAATATGAGGGCGGAGGGACGATGTTCACTTACAAGCGTCCAAATGAGATTTCAAGCACTGCAGGAGAGTCCTTTTTGGCAGAAGGACCCACTAATGAGATCCTGGATGTCTATGTGAGTTTGGATGCTTCTGGATGGTTCTCTGGGTTTTGTGGCCTGCCGTTTCTAAGCACAATGGTTAGAACAAGTACACTACAAACCATTGTCCTTGCTCAGTAAAGCCTTGGGAATGGAGCTGTTTGAGGTGCCTCTTAAATGCCTGGCATTCGAATATACCATTTACCTCTGAATGTACCTCGCTTCCAGAAACCTTAAACTCTACCAGATGCTTATTACCCTCCGGGTTTATTGACCCAGTAAAGCCAATTCTACTTGTTGAACCAAATCAGAGGCAAAACATATCCTTGATTTCACGAGTATTGGATCTCTTCCAGTCACTTTTCTTCTAATACTAATTTGGCATGTTTTCCTTTTATGGTATAAGAAGGCAAATGCCTCAAGCAAGACAAGACCTCTCACAGTTCCCAGCCTTCTTCAAACTCTATTAAAACCAACGAAGAAATGAGTGTGTTCCAGATGACACAATAAATCTGAAATAACCATATAGAGAGGTTTACCAGAAGTTCCCAGTTTCTTAAAAAAACTACATTTATATTTATTTTGCAAGAAGTTAAAATATGAAGTTGTCCAGGAGTTAAAAATGCCCCTTAGTCTTACAGAAACAACTAGAATCCAGTCATGAGTGAACCAACTCAATCCCATAATAATGGACAAATACTTCATTAAACCATTATTGTAAAAATAGAAGGATAACTAGTAAAATGTATATGAAAGTCCAAGAGTGGAAGGGGTGGGAACAAAGGAGTGAGAGTAGGAGGGGTGAAGTCACAGGGTCGCACAATTTGGTGATGGATGGAGGGAGGGGGTAAAGGAAATGGGAAAGATGGCAGGACATATAAAAATGGGATACTGGTGGGCATAATTCAGTGGGAATTCATTTTATAAAACAGTGTATGGGAATGATGTATGAAACACAGTGTGAATGAAGGAAAGTGTGAAACACAATGTATAAAAATTTTGTATGCAAACTAATAGAAAACATTTTTTTTCAAAAACGTCAGGAAATAAAAAGTGACAAGAAATAAAAGCTTGAAATAACTTTTTGATGAAAAAAAATGAGCCTGCTCATAAATATACATACTGCTACTGTCACCAAAGCCATACTAGTCCCATGGTATTTGCTGTGTCAGACTTTCATAAATATTATTAATTGCACTGTCATTACTTCTCCAACTATACAGTTACACATTCATTCCTCTTTGGCTTAGTGGCTTGTAGAGGAGAAATTATAAAGAAAGCCTTGTTGCAGTTAATTTAAGGGATTTTTTTTTTAGACCATCCAGTTGGTTATTTGACTCTAGGTAGATTTCTAATGGCATCAGGTAAAAACTCAGTTGTTAAGGACCCAGTGTGGGTGGTCCAGGACACGTCAGCCAATAATAATTGAATAAATAGGACAAAGCATGCACTGCCAAGTGCTCCCACGGAAGAGGCAAGGGGGGTGGATAAAGGAGGGTTTCCAGCCTCAGACCAACCAAGCGGCAGATTATACAGAAAGAGTATGAGAGAAATGGGGTAGGCCAAAAGATCTTGAGGTCACACCAAACTGTACCCAGGCATGCTGTGCTGACCATCACCTATTCTCACTGTTGACGGTTTAGCATTGGTCCCTGGTATGTAGATGGCTCAAATGGCTCTCATATCTGCCTGCTTTGGGGTATTTTATGGGCTACTGACCCCATTTCACAGGGAGGGAGCCCAAGATGATGGCAGGAATGAAAAGAACAAACACTCTCATGAGTCAAACAGGACCCGCTCATGCAGGAATGACTCAGAGACTCTTGTCCCTAGAAAGGATCTGAGAGATGAGCTGTGATTCTCCCTGCCAAGTGAAGAAATCAGAGATGATGAGATTCAGGTGTTTGCTCCAGGTTACACAACTGGCTAACAGAAGAGACAAAAATGATCACAGCTGTGACAGGCCTCCTTGCCTGGTCCATAGTTGCAACCCAGATTCTCATTCTGCTGTTCTGTGTAGCTTCCACCTTGCAGTCCACCGGGAGTCCTGGGTTTGAGGTACTTTGTGATCCCCAGGCAACAGCTGTGGCTGTGACGTCAGCCCTGACTCATGCCAGCCCCAAGTATGCCAGAGTAGATCTATGATCCGCGGTTTCAATGGCTGGTATTTCAGAAGTAAAATCAGGTCTTTCTCTCAAGGTGCCTCCAGGTAAACTCAGACTTGCATCCTTTCAGTTAGGAGCTGCATGTATTCACAGCATCATCCAGCAACTATAGTCAGAGAGTGTCCCTTATACTGAAGCCGTCAGGAAAGAGGACCATGGTGTACCAGCTGTGCTGACACTAGCCTTTTTGTCCACAGATGATACACCAGCAGCCTAACCCTGGAGTCCACTATGAGTACGTCATCATGGGGACTAATGCCATCAGCCCCCAGGTGCCACCTCACAGAAGACCAGGTAAATTCCCTTGTCATACTTCCAAGCACAATGTCATTTCCTACTACAGGCCTCTTTCTCTTTGTGCAATAATTAAGAGCTTGCCTGCTTTTAAAGATAAGCTCTTTCCTGATCATCACCTGAGCCAGGAGGATAGAGTTCAAACTCACCTCTGCCCTTTCATGCTGTGCAACCTCAGGGGAAAGTCTGTGCCTTCTCTGAGCATATTTCTCAATCTACAAAATAGAGTTGAGAGAACCATCCTCAAAGATCTTTGGCTTTGTTTGTGGTAGGGAGACTGGGTTTTAAATAAATTAGTTGTCTATCCTAGCACAATCCCTGGTGCCTCTTTTAAACCCAGCTTGAACTTCTGGCAGTTCTCTGTCATTGTACTATTCTAGCCATTTTTGGATGATCTTCAACAATATCTTGCTTACATGTAACATTAATGAGATTGTTCTATAATTTCCATGTTCTGTTGAATCATCTTTCTTGGAAATGGGAACAAGTATGGATTTCTTCTAGGAAGTCAGGTAGCTGTCTTCCAGATTTCCTGGCACAGACTGGTGAGCACACTCGGGGTTGCATCTGTTACTTGGAACATGTCAATTAGTATCCAATTGATTCCTGAAGACTTAATATTTACTATATAATACTATTAATTTTTACTAT